CCCCCATTTCCCCCCCCCCCTTCCCCCCTCCTCCCAAGAGGCCCCATCTCTCTCTCGCTCTCTCTCTCTCTCTCTCTCTACCTCTCTCTCTCGTTTTTTTGTCTCTCTCTCTCTCTCTCTATCTCTATGTGTCTCTCTTTCTCTCTGCCTCTCTGTGAATCCTCCATCTCCTCTGCCTCTGAGGGCATTGCATGGGCCTCCCCCTTCCCGTTCATAAGATCCGACTCTGGCTCTCACAGGCCCTCGCTCTCATCCTCACTATAGTTGTCTCTTTCGTTATTTCTTTCTCTCTCTCTCTCTCTCTCCCTCTCTCTCTCTCTCGCTCTCTCGTCGTCCTCCTCCTGCCCCCTTTCTTCCTGACGTTCCGACGTTTCGGCCGCCCCTGCCCCTCGACGTTTTGGCTCTGCGCTGCCCCCTCCGACATTTCGGCTACCGCTCCGACGCTGTGACTGCTCTCTCCCCTTCTCTTTCTCTCTCTCGTTCCCCCCTTTATGCGGTGCAATCTATTTGGCGCCGTCTACGTGGTGCGACCTACGTGGACCGAGCCTCCGAAGTGTTCTAGCGTGCGATGTCGTGCGGCATACGTGTTGCAATCGATCTGGTGTGATCTACGCGGTGCATGTTCTGTTGCGCAGTCTATGCGGTGTAACCTATGTGGTGCAAGCTGCGCCGTTCAATGTATGTGTTGCCGTGTGTGCTGCGCAATCTTTATGGTGCAAAACATACACACATATCGTGAAATCGACGCGCGCATTGCAAACGATCCGACGTCGTGCAATCTACACTATACAATATACGCCACACGCTCCCTCCGTCTATGCCCCTCGCTGTCCTCATAATTCTCATCGCTCCATCTCCTCCTCGAGCTCCTCCTCTTCTTCCTCCGCCTCCTCCTCCCCCCTTTTATCCCTGCTCGTTAAGTGTTTTCCATGCCCTCCAACCCGTCCTCTGCATGTCCCCAAACAGTGTTTGCACCATAAGGGGTTCATACTTCGGTTAACCATCTCGGGACCACCGCCGCAACATTGCCGCCGTGCCGCCCGTCGCCGCCTGTCGCCGTCGCTGCAAAATCGCCGCCCCTCCCACCACTCCAGGGAGGCCCCGCCTGAGCGAGGGCAATATTCGCATAGCATACCAGAGCAAGCGCTTAGCGGAAGGCTAACCCTGACGGGGGCGGGAGCCTAACGGGCGGGACCCTAACGGGCGGGTCGGGCGAGACCCTAACGGGCGGCACCCTAGCGGGCGGGCCGGGCGAGACCATGACGGGCGGGTCGGGCGGGCGGGACCCTGACGGGCGGGTCGGGCGGGAGGGACCCTAAACCATAGATTTGTTTTAGAGATTTTCATTACGTGATTCCTCAACGGGTTTCTTGTGGCCAAGGCGGCGTCTATTTACAAGAGCACGATGCGGTTCGAACCGCACGAAGAAGCCTCGCGAATCCCCGTAACCAGACGCCGCCCGTAACCAGACGCCACCTGATGCCTGGCGGCGTCTGGTTACGGGAGCACGATGGGTTTCGAACCGCACGAAGAAGCCCCACGAGTCCCCGTAACCAGACGCCGCCCGTAACCAGCCCCGTAACCGTGTATGTATGTATCACGTGTTGTGTCTGATGCCAGGGAGCGTTCTGATTAATCCATGAGTATCGCTTCCTATCGTGCCCTCGTAGTCGTAGCAGTAGCAGCAGTAGCAGCAGCAGCAGCAGCAGTAGTAGTAGTAGTAGTAGTAGTAAGTAGTAGTAGTAGTAGTAGTAGTAGTAGTAGTAGTAGTAGTAGCAGTAGTAGTAGTAGTAGTAGTAGTAGTAGTAGTAGTAGTAAACGTAAGATCAGTGAAAGTAGTAGTACTAAAAATACTAGTAGCAGTAGTGGTGGTGGTAGTCGTAGTCGTAGTAGTAGTAGTAGAAGTTGCAGTAGTAGTAGTAGCAGCAGTGGTGGTAGTAGTAGTAGTAGTAGTAGTAGTAGTAGTCGTATTGGTGGCAGTGGTAGCAGTAGTAGTCGTCGTAGTAGTAGTAGTAGTCGTCGTAGTAGTAGTTGTATATGCATGTTGCTGTGTGGTCTGAAATGGATTGGGGTGGTGGTGGGGGTGGTGTAAAGAGGGGTGTTTTTATGGGTGCGGATTTTCAGTCTCCAGATCACGTAGGAAATTCAACCTTCGGGTGTTCACATTGCCGCCCGATGTCTTAGGGGATCCGTACCTGCGTTAGGGAACCTGGCTCGAGCGCGCCCCAATCCCCCTACCGTCCGTACGGGCACATTCGTTTTCCGCAGTTGCAAATCAACAGGAGGTCGAGGCAGCTTCGAGCAAGGCAAGAAGAGGAGAGAAAGACGAATGGAGGAGGAGAAAGGGAGGGGGTTGACGGGGGTAGCAACAAGGATGAGAAGGACGCAGACGTTGAGAAATGAGCGGTGGACAAAAGGGAGGACGGCGGTGGGAAGGAGGGGCAGGAGGAGGATACAAATGTTTAGCCGAACGCTTGGCCCACGAACCAGGCCTATCACTGGATTGGGCGCCCCGCCCAATCCTGAAGTTTGTCCAGCTTCCCCGAGACAGACTATCAAGACTTCGGGCTTCGGCCGCAGCTAATACAACTGACACTGGCGAAACCTGAAACACAGATGGGGCCCGCACTGTCTGAAATACAACAGTCGAAACCTTAGCGCCATTCCTGGGGAGATTTCGAAAAGGCATGCTGGCCAATACCAAAACCCTGATAGAGTTCAGCTTGCCTGGCGGGCTGGGCTCTGGTGGCTGGCTGGAGGGCTCACTTGGGCACAATCTTCTTTTTCTTGAGCACCATCTTGCCGCCACCTGCGGCGGACCCCCCCGCTGCTGAGCTGGCCGTCGTCGCTGGCGTTGGCGCCGCGATGTCGGGGGAGTCGGCGTCGCCGATCCTGTTGCGCAGCTCGATCGGCAACGACTCGTAGGGAACGTGAAGGTACGCCGTGGCGTACTTCACTGCTGCTGCCACTGGATCTTTCAAGCCCTTCTCCTGCTTCGTTCCAGAGTCGGTACTCCTCTGGACGATTGCGCTGGCGATGACGTTGATGGCAGCCAGCTGGCATGCCTGGTTCAGCTCGGTCTGGCTCTCCACGATCACCTTCAGGAAGTCGGCAAGCTGCGTCCTCTTCTGGTCGCTCGCGAAGCTCGCGAGGGGGATCATGCTCTCCAGCGTGTTCCGCCAGTTAGGTGTCTGCGTAACCAACTGGTCGATCTTCCTCATCCGTGCTGCCATCTCAGGGTTGTCGGAGACGATCCAAGGCGCCATGGAGAAATCCCACATCTTTACTGCATCTGTGATAGGGCTGGACTCCTTGATGAAATCAGCGAGGGCCTCGAACGACTTCACTTTGACGATGAGCGCCGCCTGCTGCTTATCCCATTCCTCAGTGCACTTCTTCAACATCAACTCGAAGTTGGACCCCTGAGTGAATAACTTAGGATGCTTGTCCTGCGAGACGCGTACATCATGAAGCATATTCGTGATCTCCACAAGACCGCCTGCGGGCTTACCCGATGTCACCTTGTCGCACACATCCTGAATCAACTGCATGGTTGCAGCCCCATGCGCCAACTCGCGAGAACCAGGAGGAAGCAACTTCCCATCGTCAAGAACCGCCATCAAGTCCCTGGCCCGCTTCACGTCCTTGCCGATGACGCTGGTCATGTAGGACATCGCGAGCTCGCTAATGTTCACGGTCTCGTGCAATTGAACGGCGATGCGGATGGCGAACTTGCCGTGGGCGGAGTCCCACCTCATGGCTGACGCGGGCTTGGTCCTCTCCTTGATGAGTTGTTCTTTCTGCAAGCATTGCGAGATGGATACCAAGGCGCCCTGGAAATTGTCTGTGGCTTTGTCCTGAAGCGTCACGGTCTTGAAGAAGCTGGAAAAAGTAGAAAGCTTGTTGCTCACGTAGGACAGCACTTCAGGGGTCCTGGGCATCAGGCTGCTGACGAGGCCGATGGCGGCTGTGAGCCAGGCTAAATCGTCGGCAGGGCTGTCCTCTTGCGAACCTGGCGCTGGCACATCATCTGGCTTGACCCTCTGGATTATTTCGCCGATCGCCGTCATGCACTCCCCGACGATGTTGGATTTCTCGAGGAAGACGTCCAGGCACCTGAGTAGGTGCTCCAAGATCTCCCTGGGCAAACGCTCCTTGGGATCACCCTCCGCGCCAGCGGCCGCCGCGTCGCCCATCACGGTACCATCGCCATCGCCAATCATGACGCCCAACGCCTCGATCATGCTCGAGTGATCGTTGTAGGCGTCGCAGACCGCCTACAATGCCGCAACGCCAACCACGGACCCAAACAACAAGACAATGTTCAACCGTGTCAAGACATTGGCAGACTGGGATAGGTTACACCGAAGCCAAAACAACACTTATTGCCTAAGCAAAAAACTTCGGGCCGACGCAGCGGCCCAAGAGAAAACGCCCCAAACACCTGATCCTGTTCTCCGGCCTCAGGAACGGACCCGCGGTCTTAAAACCTAGTGGGCTGCCTCAACTGCTCCATCATCCCCCTGGGAGCATTCAACACATATTCTACAACCACTGCAAATCGACGGGGACTGGGTTGAGACGCTGCTTTGGCCGCTAACGGCGTCAGCCTGGAGTTACACGGGCGGGCCGAAACGCAGCAGCTTTCAACGCTGGAAATACAACCAACAGCAATGCCATGCCAACAAGCGCACAATCGTCATGGAGACGTGCATCGAGGATGTGAGCCCAATACCCTCCAGACCATACCCCTCTCAACAGCTACTCTCTGGCTGAGCCCTGCCGTGGCGACGAATAAAAACCTGGAATGGTTTAGCTGGAAACTCAGTAACTAAAAGGGGGAACGCGTATCAGCTTTCACAGGGGGAGACAGTGAGCAAATGCCGATAGGGTCCAAGGGTAGAGCACCAGAGAGCTTGCACAGGAGATTACCGTGCTAAGAAATCGGAAGGCTTCCAAAATAATGTATGCACACCCTGTACTGATGGATGCTTGTTTCTTTAACCTAGGTCCTCGTAGCAGTCAACCTCACCTTCAGCAGCTGCCAGCTTGTCCCTGAGCGCGGTGGCCACGCCGAAGTCGAGGGACTTGCACCTGTCTGTCTGGACCTGCCGCTCGCTGTGGATCCTCACCATCGTATCCCAAGCAGATCGCCCAAGCTGAACCTGAGCTCCGCAGATCTGGCGAAAATGCGTCCGCAAGCGGGGGCTGAGCTTGCTCTTGTTCGCCACCATCGCACAACACATCGTGACCTCGTAGCGGGAGAGCTTCTTCTCCGAGAACTCGAGTTGCAAGCATTTTGAGCACAGGATCAAGCAGCACATGTCGATCCTCGGTTGGGGAAACCAGCCATCGCGAAGCTGCCCGCTCGCCAAGTCGATGTCGGCAACGTCCACAACAGCGGCATCAGTCATCGTCTCGTGGAGCAGCTCCCCGCAGCGGATGACCCAGTGGACGTCCGCCATTTTCCATATCCTCTCGGCAAGGTGGAGGACCAGGCCCTTCTGGCACTCCTCTAGCAACTGCGGAGCCTTCGCAAGCCACCCGCACGAGAAGCGGTCCTTCTTGAACGACGGGTCCATCACGACTGCAAGCGCTCGCAAGACATCGGCATTTTGATCCATCAGCGCGCCCATCTTGTTAATCGCGAGGCTCATCTCCGACACGATGATCATGCCAAGAACGTCGCGCGGAGCATCCTCGAGAGCTCTCTGGTCATCGTCACTCAGTGGGTTGACCACGAGCTTGACGAAGTCGCTGCGGATACGTTCGAAGAGGGCGTGGCGCTTCTCCAGGGTGTCGTGGATAGAAAACAAACTATTACTGATGTCAGCAGCATTGCTATTGCCGACGATGGCCCCAGCCTTCCTTCCGTGGGTATTCAACCTCGCCAAGAATTGGCCGAAATCGCGCTGCTTGAGCTTGCTCTCCCAATGCAATTTGAAGGTCCACTTCTCCTGCGCCGCGGTGGCCAGCTCTTGAGCTGCTTCAATGGTGGCATCAGAAGCAGACCTCCGCTGCCTCGGTTGCTTGGCACCCTTTGTCGGAGGAGGCGATGCGTCTGGTGAAATCTGAGATGATGCTGCGCTTCCTCGAGCCCTCTTCCGACCGCTGCCACCTGCGTGCTCGAGGTCGCCAACGACAGACGAGGGCTTCTGCGCCGAAGTTGGGGGCGTCAGCAAGCCGCTCGGCGCGACGTCGCGCGAAGGGTCGGTCAACTGCAGTGCCGAAATCGCCCTCGTAGTGGCAGAGCTGCCAGTAGGATTATACCCGCTGTCGCCATCACTGTCGTCGTTGCCCTGCCCAGCGCCGCTCGGAGCCCCCCCGACAAACGATCCCACGACTGGCTTGTCCCCGAACTTGGCGCACCTCGCATCCTCGAACGCCTCCTCGCACACATCCTTGTTGCCGTACTGCTCTTTTTTGACATACCCCACCTTGTCTGCGATGCCTCGCCGAAACCTGTGCTGCTTCGGCCCGTAGTCTGGTATCTCAACCCCTGAGGGCCCGAGGGCGGGCATGCCCAATGACGCCCCATTCGAATGCCCGCGAAGGGCCCAGTCAACTTAAAACAACAATGAATCCGAGCCCCTCGACGAAAACAGACCTTGGAAATTCAAGCCCCAAGGCAGGAGCATCCATGGACATTTCTAAACCTGGGCAACACCAAAACGAACAGCAACGGTGAAACGGGGCGGCATTGAACATACCCGCGGCCTATAACGCCACGCTTGTTCCGTGCCACGCTGTAGTCCTTGTACTTCTCGGCAACCATATCGATGAGCTCCTGCTCATCATCCCAGCCCTTCAGGTCCCTGGTGCGCGCAAACTCGTACAGCTCCACGAAAGTCCCCTCGACGAAGTCCTGATCGAACTCCTCGCGCTCTTTCACCAGCCACCGCTCTGCCTTCACCTTCGCCTCGCTCTTGAACTGATCACCGCCGCTGACTCGGTCGCGGCGAAGCGCCAGGAATCTCTCGTCCAAGGTGCGGTTGGCATTGCGAAGCTCGTTCAGGGACTTGAGCTGGTCGTCGAAGAAGCGCCTGCGCGTGTCGAAGCATCCAGAACACTCAGTTCCCGCAGGCAGGCAGTCGCCTGCCGAGTTGTGCCAGCTCTTTGTCCAGCGAACGTAGAACGGCTTCTGCGGGTCACTGTCCCTGTCGATGTCGTGGGTGGTCTGCAAGCACGAGCCGCACTTCTGTGGTGGTGCGTGTTGCCATTCGTTCACAGGCTCAGTCGGGCCCCGCTGGACCTTGGCCCGCTTCGAGCTAGAGGCCTTTGGCACTGGTGCAGACTTGACCTTCGCCCTGCTGCTAGCCCCCTGCCCAGCTGGGCCATCACAGCCGCTCTTGCGACTGAGCTTCGACGCCACTGGAGGCATGGCGATGATGCTCGTCGGGCGCAGGCCCCAAGGATGATGTCATCCAAACCTCTCGAGCCAAAATGGCTACGCAGGGAGCTGCGTTTCAGGTGACTCAAGTGGGTACCAGTCTAGGGCCTCTAGGGAGTCTAGGGGGTGCCTCCGCACTTCTACAACTCCTTGGAACGTCAAGTCAAGGCGTGGACCGATGCAACCTCGAGGGGAGGAGGAGTGGGAGGAGGGGGAGGTGCAAGGAGGGAAAGGACTGTGAGGATGCGTGTGCCGATAACGTTGGAGGATTCCTGGAGGATGGCGTGTTTTCCTGGAGGTGCCATCACCACTCTACACATAGGTGGGACGCGCTGGAAACGCATATGTGGCAACATGAAGTCTCCCTACTCTCACGTGGCAACGCCAGACTTACGGATATGTATACATATGTGTGATCATGCGTGGCAGCATCATGTCTACAGAACAATTCCCCCAAGCTTGGGGATGTGTTGCATCATCCCCTGGCCAGAACAATTCAAAAGGGCAAGCATTTCTGGGTGGGCTTGTGACTTGCGCGGGTACTGATGCACGCGTGAACTAAAATAGTGGTGGCGCCCGTGGACGCGTGCACATGGAAGCACGTGTTTTTCCATATCCTCATCCAACCTGTGCGAGCGAACCAACTGAACTTAGAGAGATGCAGTCGGGAGAGGCTCGGCAACCTGGCAAAAAACAAAAAAAACGAACTACCACGCCAAAGCATCGATGTCTTGCCGGCTTGGGCGCTCTAGGGGACAGCCACCTGGAGGGAGCCTAGCTTCCACTTGGGGCGCGACTTGGTGGCCTTCGTGCCCTTGCTCTTGGAACTGGCCTTGTTCGGGCCCTTCCCCGAGGTCGCCCTGGTCTTCTGGGATGACGACCCCCCACGGCTGGACTGAGGTCGGCCCTTGCCCTTGCCCTTGCCCTTGGGGCCCTTGCCAGAGCCCTTGTCGTGGCCGTCGCCGTCAGGGCCAAGGATTCGGATGCTGGCGGAGTTATTGGCATCGTCTTTCTTGGTCGCCTTGCGAACCTTCACGTTGATGCGAACGTTCACCTGGAGAAGGTGACGCTCCTGCTGATTGAGATGGCTGAGTTGGTGCTGGAGCGAAGCCATTCCCCTCGTAGACGCATTGGCGCCGACTGCCTGGGTGATGATCTCGGTGGCAGCCTTCTCGATCACCCCCGTCAGCGCCGCCGCTGCAGCGACTGCTGCTGCCATCGCCGAGGCCCGAGGTCGGAGCAATGCCCTCGGGGGCAAGGAAAAGCGATGCCTGGATCAAATCCTCTGGTCACGTTCCAGGTTCGAGAAAGCAATTTGGAACAAATGGATACGGAGACAAACGGATACGATGAAGCCAAAGAGGATCCTCGCGCGAACGTGTCCTCTTAGTGAGTCGCCTTATGCTGACTCCCTTGGCCCCTCCTGGGGCCCGTTGGGGCTCTCTTGGGGCCCTTTAGGACTCTTCCGAGGCTCGTGGAGGGCCCCAGGAGGGCTCCGAGAGGGCCCCGAGAGGAGCCCCGTTGCTGTCAAAGACGAGGGCCGCCATCTTGACATCAGAGGGGGGCTCTCGGGACCCCTCTTGCGGCCCTCTTGGGGCTCTCTTGGGGTCTTCTCGGGGCCCTTCAGGAGCCTTCCGAGGCTGGTAGAGGGCCCCAGGAGGGCTCCCAGAGGGCCCCAAGACGGCCCAAAGAAGTTCTTGGCAGACAGGCCCGTTGTCTAGAGCTCTTTGAGGACCCCCACTCGGGCTGGGTCCGCCATCTTGACAGCAGGGGATGCGCTCATGGCCCCTCTTGGGGCTTTCGTGGGGCTCTCTTGGGGTCATCTTGGGGCCTTTTCGGGGCCTTCCGACGCTCGTAGAGGATCGTCTTGCGTTGAGTCCAGTGGTTCGCCTTATGTTGGTTCTAGGTGCCAAGGGGGGTGTGGATGCGTACTGGGGGCGGATTGCGAGGCGCACTGGGATGCCCCGCCCCCCCCCCCCCCCCCCTCCCGACATACAGGCAAAGCCGCGCTTGCCGCGTCAAGGCAACTCGCTTAGAACTGGCGGACGGGTGGATGGTATGCAACGTAATGGGCGAGGTGCGACGTCTGCAACGCAATCTTACTTTTGAACAACCCCGTTCACACATTCAAGTATCTGGGCTGCGTCGCGGGCGCAGCAGCGACTGCTGAGGAAACCTCGCAGCACAGAGACGCCAACCGATCATTGCCAACAGCTCCTCGACTCGTCAGTGAGGGTTGGGGCGTGGCGGCGATGGCGGGCGAACAGGCGTGTTGATGGCGTTGATCCAATCAACCGTCAGCAACCCCCTCGGTACGAAGTACTCTCGGAGCCTCAAATTGTTAGGCTCCCAATGGACCTGGCGAGGAGACAGGTAAGGACAATCATGGCAATGCGAAATGGGGGGGGGGGGGGGGGGCGAAACAGGAAGCGAGAAGGGAGCAGGGACCGCACGAAGGTAACGCATGATAACGATGTCAACCTGCATATTGCGCAGCTTGCTGCACGTGTTCGCCAGCATTCGCAACCCAATGGCCACAATCTGAGCATCCTTCCAGACTGCACGAAGCCGCTGACCACGGGCCCCGAAACGCCCTCCCCGAGACCCCATCCCCCATGAGGTTTTCATTCCATCCGAGGGCCCAGGACGGAACAACGAGGGGCCTGGTGAAAGTGCTTCCAGCCCCGCAAGCCTTCTTCCACATGAAGCGGCGTCCATGCGTCGACTCTGAAGTCAGCGGCCTCGTCCAGAATGGCGAGAGCAACCACTCAGGCCACACCTCGTCGTCGCTAAGGGAGAAACTACGCACGTCTGCCATCGCAGCTGCCGCGGAGGGTCGGGGGGTCGGGGCGACGGAGACCGCAGCTTTCATTCTTGGGCCTCGCGCCTCAGAAGTCCGACGTCCCCTCTCCTTCCTCCTCTTGCTGCTCCTCCCCCTTCTCCTCCTCCAGAAGCCAAGAGCTCCTCCCCCGTCCTCCTCCTCCTCCTCCGCGCCCTCTCTCATAATCGCCCCACTCCCCCAAGCTTGGGGGCATTGTTGACGGGAAGATGAGAGAAGGCGAACGAGGGCGATTCGGAACATAGGGGAGCGGGGGTATGACGAGGGGGAGCGAGTAGGAGGAGGGGGAAGACGGGGAGGGAGCTCTCGGGCCCCATAGGAGGAGAAGGAGGAGGAGGAAGAAGATGGGGAAGGGGAGGGCGACGGGAGGGGCCCAGGAGGAGAACCCCTAACTGAAAATGCGAGCCCCCCGCCTAAAGAGGGCCCCACGACGCCAAGAAGCACCCAAGAGGCCCCAAGACGCGCTCAAGAGGCTGCCGAGAGGCCCCGTCCGAAACGTTTCCGTTTGGGGCTGGGGGGGCTCTCCAGATTTGCAGCCCCGTTAGGCAGGCAATATGTATCAATCGAAGGTGATGATGACGCCGCTACTGGTGACAACGATGCTGGCGATTGCGACGATGTTGACCATGATGAGGAGGAAGGGAGCGAGGCGGATGCTCGGTTCTGCGGCCTATGCCGCTGCCTCCTCGAGCTCGGCGAGAGCGCCCACGAGCATGCCGTAGGCGGGCTCGCCGACGGCCTCAGCGATGAAGCCCTTCAGGGACTCCACGTCCTGCGGTGGCGCGATGGCCCCTCCTTCCCCCTTGAGTTTGCAGGGGCAGTCGAGCCCCCCCCCCAAGCGCGAGCCCCCCCCCCAGTGCAGAGAGGCGGCCTGCGCACTTTTCAGAGGACCTGAGAAATCAAGTGGGGTAGGTTTCCCCCAGCACCATCCTCGATACATTCGAAAACCACAGCGGTGGAAACAGGGGTGCGAACAGGGGTGTAGAATCTGCGCGGCCGTCTACACCCTTGTTGGCACCCCTGCCCCCCGCCTGTCATAGCGCGCGGGCCTTCGTTTGACTGCGGGGGGGCTGACGTTTGCGAGACCACTCACACTGTTCAAGGGCGGGGCCTCTTCTTGAAGGGCGGAAATCCTTGAACAATGATTTGTTCAAGGATTCTGTTTTTTGCGACCCCTCACGCTGTTCAAGGGCCCATCCTTGAACAAACATTGTTCAAGACCCTTGAACAAATTTTGTTCAAGGATCGGTCCTTGAACAGTGTGAGGGGTCGCAAAAACAGAATCCTTGAACAAATCCTTGTTCAAGGATTTATGCCCTCCAAGAAGAGGCCCCGCCTTTGAACTGCGTGAGGGGTGTAACATTTTGAGCCCCCTTGGGCCGTTTGGAGCATGTTGGACAGCGCCGAAGATAAACGTCGCGTGAGAATGACCCAAAGCACGCGGCCCCCCTTCCGTCCCCCACCCACAGCGCCCGAGGAATCCCTCGTGGGACACGCGTAATACATAACACACACGTTCGGCAACGTCGTTGTGACTGCTCACGTTCCCACCTCATGTTTGTGACTATCCTAGCTACTCATGTTTCACTCTGCGCCTCATCACCATCCTCTCCTCCTCTTCTCCTGACCTCCTCTCCTCCTCTTCCTCCTCCTTCTCTGTCTCCTCCTCCTCCTCTTCCTCCTCCTCATCCTCCTCCTCTCCCTCCTCTCCCTCTCCTCCTCCTCCACTCCCGCGTCCTCCCCCCTCCCCATCGTCGCATGCATCCCCTCCCCCGCTCCTCCTTCCGGAACGAAGCAAGCATCACGGGGTCCTGCGCCCTCGTTGCCAACGGCGCTCTCCCGATGCACTTGGCGCGCAGTCTCCTTTAGAGAGCAGGGGCATTGCAGCGTGAGAGTGGGCGGGGGGGTGGCGGGTTTTACGTGGGACGTCGCCCTGGGGCACCAAGGAAGAGCCCAGGCGAGGCTCGCAGAGGGCACGAGGAGGGCTCCGAGAGGGCCCCAAGAGAAGCCCCCTTGCTGTCAAGGACGAGGGCCGCCATCTTGGGGGGCTCTCAGGGCCCCTCTTGGGGCCCTCTTGGGGTTCTCTTGGGGCCCTCTTGGGGCCCTCTTGGGGCTCTCCTGAGGCCCTCTAGGAGCCTTCCGAGGCTCGTAG